TGTTGCCACAGACGGTAAAGTGAAAAGTGAAAGCTCTTAACTTCTGCGTAACTATCGCGCGTATGCAGAAGTTGCGCGATAATTATGCAGAAGTTCTGCGGAAGTGGCTGTCGTATGCAGCCGGGTCGACCTTTATGCGATTTGTGGCAAGTGTGGCTGCATCAAGGACGCCCGGCTGCATAAAACAGCCACCTCCGCATAAGTTCTGCATAATTATCGCGCCTATGCAACGGCCCAAAGCCCAACTTCTGCATATGTGCAAAAGTTGTGCTTTTACACAGCTCTTAACTTGTGCATAACTATCGCGCTTATGCAAAAGTTGCGCGATAATTACGCAGAAGCTATGCCGAAGCTATTTATACTGTAGCGCTACTGTACTACGACTGTATTAATACTGCATCACTGTCTCCAACCTTCATTTGCGCATAGCAACTTTCCAATTTCCATCTGCCAATCTGTCAATGTACGTCATATGTATAACGCACCCTACGAGTATCTGCATATAACATACGCATGCATGCATGCATGCCTGCATGTCTGTATGCATATTTCTCTACAGAAGGGAATTCATGACATGACCTGGCACGGGGTCAGCTTGCGCTGTATTACGGCGCGTTTCATTTTGCTACACTGCACTACACTGCGTTCCACTACATTAATTGAAATGCCACTGCATGTGGCGGGAAAACGCAACTGCTGGTGGGGGCCTTGGGGACCGCCGGGTACTCGCGAGTATGCGCGGGTATGCCCGAGTATACCCGAGTATGCGCAGGTATGCGCGAGTATGCGCGGGTATGCCCGAGTATGCGCGGAGTATGCCCGAGTATGCGCGAGAATGCGCGAGCATGCGTGAGTATGAGCGAGCAATATAATTACGAGCGAGTATGCGCGAGTAGTGTATTATACATAGTACATGACATACTGTGCATTAACTTTTCATATACATGATATAGAACAAACTATATGCGGTCTATATTTTGTAAACTGTAATATGCATTATCCACTTTATATAACACATATTATTGTGTATTACGAAATACATAAGATATGCAAGAACTGAAACAGTTTGTATTATGTAGAACAATGTGTACATATATATATATATATACACACATACATATATCTACACCTATGCTTATAAAATTAGACTATAATATATGTATATATATATATGTGTATATTGTTTTGGATTTTATTCTATACATCATGTGATAACAGTATTACACGGGTATAAGAGAACATGAATATTACATACGGTATTGTATAAGGCACATTTTTCATTGTATCTCAGATGTTACATAGTATTTGCTACAAGTTCGTGTTTCGTATATCAAGTTGCCATACAGGTTGTATGTTTTATAGCGGTGAATACCATGGTCTGTGTTTTCTGATAGCTGCTATACTAGTTACTAGTATACATTGTAGTGCCACTCGGGCGTACTCGAGCATATTGGAGCATACTCGAGTGTACTCGACCATACTCGAGCATACACGAGCATACTCGAGCGTATGCGCGAGCACTCGGAGTACAGTCGCCCATCGCGCCCGCAATGCAAATTGCAACACCTAGCACTGCGTCATGCTACTTCGCAATACATTACATTACACTACGTTGCATTACATTGCGCTACACCATCCATGCATGCATGTATGCGCATGTGTGTGTTTTCTGTATCTACACCGAACACAGACATATCGGACATTGAAGGTCTAGGACCACAGTCACCACAGGCCTCCGGATGAGTGACCTGCATGCGGCTTGAGTTGCAGATGTTGCACTGCTCTGTGCTCAGCGGAACGGAGCCGTCCTGCATTTCAGGTCGAAGCAAATCACCGAGCGAGGGCCCGACTTGCACCCCTTCTTCCATGACCTTTCGGCGAGTGCACCGCCTCGACTTGCACCGAATGGTAAGGCCAAGGGTTGAGGCTAGTTTAGTTTTAATGGGAATGACTCCCATTATTTTCCAAGCAAAGGTACGCTGAAACGGACATCGAGGCATCGGCGTGACGGTTAAGAGTCTGTCACATGCAAATGAGATCTGGGTAGGTCTTGACAGAAGTCACCATGTACCGTTCAAGAGCGACTATGTTGCAAAAAAATCTTCTGCAGTCTGCAGGCTCCTTTTGCACCAGCTGAAGGACCAGATCGGCCAGGTCTTCTCGCCCTGCTCCGGCCAGCTCCTCCCAAAGCGCAGGGATTAGCTGAGCCCAGGTTGGGGCGCTCTGCGGCGAAGCTTGCCAGTCAAGGTGGGAAGTCGTCCTCTTGATGTTGTTACTAAGGCTAGCTTACCCGCACACCCTTCTGGCAGTGACGCGCCGCACGCACATCCTGACGTCACCAGATCGCAGCCGTCGCAGTCATCATCACCACTGCCACCACCACCACCGCCACCACTACCATTGTCGCCATGTAGCGACAAAATCGGAAGCACAAGCAGCCGCAGCTTCTGCAGAGAGGCTTCCACGTAGAACAGCTTACGGATGCATGCTGCTCAATGAGTTTGTTTAAAGGGGCGACTTGACTGCCACAACAAAGTGACCAACAGCCTGCGTATAGGGTCCTCAAAGCAGGCTCTAGAAGGACAAGGGCAGCACAGGTGCTTTGAGGAACCTTGCAAGATGACTGCATCGCCAAAGCCATGAAATCCAGGCCGGACGCGCAGGTGCGCCCTGGCCGTAACCGCTTCCAAGACAATTCTTCTAAACGAAGTCCTGCAGCGACCACGTAAGCCGTTCCTCCGATTGACCGATCCCTTGGGGGTTTCCGAAGGGTTTTTTTCAGCTTCTCAGAATTCCAACGGTTTCATAGGCATTCAACACACCGGTCAGGAAGGGAGAAGACAAGCAAATCAACATAAACTGTTGCCCTCTGTGTCACTCTTCCCTCTTCGGCTCCATCTCTGCGGCCTCTTCCGAATTCACCGCTGAGGTCGCGGATTAAGGTTCAGGATTTTATTTTGCAGGTTTCAGAATCTCATGATGCTAACATGGTCGTTTCCATAAGCTTCTGACAACAAGGTATCATCTCCACCTGCCGTAGCACGGAATGCCGTGGCACGGAAGGGACAGGTATCAGTCAGAAGGTTGCGCGCAGTCATGGTCGAAGCCCCGCACTGCTAAATCATGTCAACCTAATCAGTCCGTTGCGAGTCCACAACGACTGTTTGAATGGCCCCCTATCTGGATGTTTATTCATTTCTTCTTTGTCTCCGTCGCTGTGCTTTCTTCTGGCACTGCTCGAGAAAGACTGCCCCCAACATCCGGCTGGAGGAAAGCCGTCGACACACGCAGCCCACAACCGCCCCGGCCTGATACGCCCCGGCCTGATGTCGGTGTCTTACCGACTTTAGCTATATGAGATGTAAGGGAGGATGCCCTGTCTCCGTCTCCGTGTCTCTCCACACAGAAATACTTACGGATGTCTGCCGGTGAAGGTCTGGGAAACCGCATGGCATCAAACAAATGAACGGCTCTCGACAGGCAGCGGGCTGCTGCTGCCACGCAGGCAGTTCCAGCATGATGCTCATGCCAACATCCTGGAGCACTCGAGGCTCACACTCTTCACTACTGTTGTCTGATGTCTCGGATATGCCAGAATCTTCTGGGTTTTGAAATCTATGTTTTTTGGGACACCTCCTCGAATCCACGACTCTAGCTCCGCATGCACGAGAGGTCTGCACAGGGACTGGGCACTAAACCCGTCCAAAAAGTCCCTAAACTCGAACATCGCCTCGAGAACCACAAAGAGTGCTGCTGATCTGTGAACGTCTTGAAGACATACGACAACCAGTCCGTGAACATACGTTGTTGCGCCTCTTTTTTGAGCCTCGGAGCTTTGCGGAGGATATCCAAAGCCCTCGGCTAGAAATCATCGGGTTAACGTTGGTCCGCTTCAGTTCGTATAGAATTACGGACTTCGGATTCCCAATCCTGCAACACTTTGTCCACCCTGCCCTTGACAGCCTGCCGTGAGGCCGGCCGTGGGATGGAAAGCATCCCTGTGCAGGCACCGAGGCTTCAGGCCAAAAGTACGGCCACACCCATTTACTGCTTTCCAAGGAAATCCTTGTAGGCCTTCGCTGGGGGGTTGTGTTCAGGGCTGAAGCTCAGGACCAGTTAGCACTGGGAGGCTTGTGCTGTGGTTCGAGCAACTAGGTTGGGCTTTACTGGGTTCTTCAACTTCAAATGAAAAGCTAGAATGGCAGTGCGCAGTGATTCATGTGCTCTCCTCACTCTGGTGATCGCTGCTGGTTGGCCTCAGAAAAATCAGCTTTGGGCTTGGAGGGCTCTGCGTTGCAGCCACGAAACCCGTCTGGCTTCCAGAACCGCATCCCACACGCTAAATGGACCCTAGACATCTAGCTACGATCTCTCCCACAAAGACGCTCGAAATCAGCAAACGAAAACCTGAACCCCACCACCACAAGTCAGCAAACGAAAACCTGCAAAAGGCCTGCTCTTATCCCTGCGTCTCCTTTCTATCCTTTTTGTTGCTCTAAGGGTCTTTTTCCCATAGGATTTTCCTAAGAAAGAAACCCCATAGGGCCCTATTAAAGAAATTTGGGGTCCAGCCTCCCTGTCCTCTTCCGCCCCCAGGCCAGCTGCCAGGCCGTAGGCGCCGCATCCCAAGGCTAAACCGCCCTAAACCATCGTTGCTTTTAGGATCCCTGGGGCCCTAAGGCCCCTCCATACCTGAGGATCCTTAGGAGGTCCCCGGGTCCTAAATTGCTTCGGACGTAGGCTAGGGCTCCTGTCTTTGTGTCTTTGTGACTTGCAGCTCGGAGCTCTTAGAGGGTCTACGAGAAGAACCCCCCGCACGCACGGGCGGGAGTTTAGGTGCTTTAGGGGGGCTTCGAGGCGAGGATGCTTTGTGTCTGGAGCGGACTTCCACTGATAGGATGAGCTCGAGCAGCGAAACACTTGTGCTCTGCTGGGAATCCTGGGTGACTGCATCTGTGAGACCTACAAGAATTCATGCGCCCCGTCTGGGGCCAGAGTGAAGGGATGGACTCGGGACTCAGGCTCGGAGCCAAAGGAGTCCTAACATCTTTTCTCTGCCCCTGCCGCCGACGGAATGGATGTTCCTGCACAAGCTTGGTTCCTGTTCCTGCCTGCTACTGTACTGGGGTACCAAGCCTCGCACCCACAAGAACTTCGGGCCCGAAAGTTTTGTAGGTACGAGGCTTGGTCTGGCGACATTGCTAGTGGTGATCACAGCGGGCGAAAGCTCATGTAACCTATTGCTTGGCAAACCGACTTAGGCCGAGGAAGCTGGTGCCCAACAGGACGGGAAACCTTCGAAGAATTTCCGGACTTCCAGAGAACCAGCAGCAGCAGCAGCAGCAGCATTGAAACTGTTTTCGGGACTACTTTGCAGTGGTCCAGGGTAGAGGACCTCAACTCCGAGCACAAAGCCCGATCGAAGACACCTACCAAAACAGAAACATACAAATTTGTCAACGTATGGTGGGTGAGGGGGTGCACTCTGAATGCGATCAGTTTTAAACTCGACGGAATAAGCGGCTCCTCTACAAAGCAAGGCGTCAATTCAGAAACTCCACACCTTCCACGCCCGGCCTCCCCGTTCCCTCAACCCGAGAGTGGCCATGGGACATATGGGACATGATGAGGGGCGGAAGGGCACTACAGGGTTGGGAGCGTTGAAAGCGCATTCCTCTGGAAGTTCTCCAAGCTCGTGGGGCGTCCTCGCAAGCCGTGGCGCAGCTGGCAATGGCCTTAAACGTAACGCTGGGATCAGGGCAAAGTAATCGGCCTTGAGTGTTCGCGTTTGGTGGAAGCTGGTAGTCAAAAGCCACCGGCCAACTGTTAAAGGCTTAAGGATCGAGACGAGGCTGTGGGCTTGTCGGCATGTGCTGAATTTTGGGCAGCCTGCCTTTCTTTCACAGTGGGAACGCTGAATAGCACTCCGCAGAAACAGCAGTAAAAAAATTAAACCAACCTCGCACCGTCCGCAAGACTCACAACCAGACAAACAAAGACAGTACCAACAGCTCCGGGTCATCAGGGCGAGCACATGACACCTCAAAAGCCAACTCGTAAACCCCGAACCCTAATCTAAATCCTGGATTAGGACGGCCGAAAAGTCCGGTTAAATCCTCCTCATGCCTCCTCGCCGTTGATCCCTTCGCAACTGCTCAGACAAAAACCATAGCTTGGGCTTCAGGGCTTTTCGCAAGGTAGGGCTTCTCGATGGAAGCCCAAGCTAAGGCCTGAGGTTGCGCAGCGAAAGATGTCAGGTGCCACCACCCTGACACCGATCCTCCACAAGAACGTCCGATAAAAAGAAAGTCTAAGCCGCAATCAAAGCACAAGAGCCCTGTTGACTCAGGCAAAGACAGACTGCAAGCCGAGCCCGCTAAATGGCCCAAGCTTCCAGCGCTCGAAATCCTACACTCCTACACTCTCAGCCGAAGCAGCGAAGCTGAGCGAGAGGTTGTCCGGGGCCCACAGCCGCGACAGGAGTAAAGAAGAGCGGCACCAATCTCCTGTCGGGTTGCCGCATTCACACAGGGCTTGGCGGATCTTCATTGTTTGAAATGAACGCGACGAATAATGTAGTGGCGGCCGGCTCTGACGCTGCAGACTTCATCACTGCTCAGAAACAAGTCACAAGCCAAAGCCTAAAGCCAAACACCCCGTTCCTCAGAAACTCAAAGTAAGTAAGCCTCAAGGTCTAAGCTCCGCAAAAAAGGAATGCAAAGCCTCCTCTTCCCCATCAGAAACTCAGTCACTGGAGAGCTGTGCAACCAACCCTACAACCACGAAGCCAGACGCTCCAAAACCCCAGCAAAGTCAGGGTTCTGTTTCTCGCGTTCGGTGCGGAGGTGTTCTGTCTGTATAAATATGATGTGTTGCCAATGGGATGCTTCGTGAGTGCTTCGGAAGCAGTTGGTGAGTGCTTGGGGGAGTGGGAAACGGGAGCATGTGGAGCAGCAAGGGAGCAGCACACACTTCCCCTTATCGGCAAAAAGCCACCCCCAACTACCCAGCGAAAACCCTGACCCACCACCATGCTTACGAAGGCGACCCAGCAAGCACCATGACCCAACACCATGCTTACGAAAACGACCCGACAAAACACATATCCGAAGACCCTTTCTTTTATGCGGGTTTCCAAAAATAGGGGACCCTAAGATCGTACCCTAAATAGTAGGATCCTTATTATAAGGAGCCCAAAAAAAGGTACCCCCAATTTTCGGAAACTCCCATATAGAAGGAACACCTACTTTCCAGACACCTGAAAAGCCTGTAGACCAAGAGCCTTGCAAGGAGGCACGAGACCCTAAACCCTAAAACCTGTTCACACCTGAACTATGCCTTTGCATATGCCAGGAACCGAAGCGCCGACTGTGCTGTGGACTCAAACCCGAAACCCTAGTCACCCTAATCCCTTTAAGGAAAAGCGCGCTGCCAGATCCTGTCAAAGAACCCCATGGCCCCCCGGCCTCGCAGGCTGCAGCAGCTGATCGCTGCGTTTTCAACGGCGCTGTCGATCTCAACAAGCCTCCAGGCACCATAGATTATAGTTGAATATTACGGACTATTCTAGACTACTATAGATTATAGGCTTTGGCAGCAAGGCTTTCGAGGGTTTAGGTTGAGGATTGAAGGTACTTAGGGAACGAGTAGGATTTGAGTATACCGATGCCGAGGGTATCTCTGGGCTTTGCCGGTCATGGCCTTCGGCCGTCTGAACGGACATGCAGAGGACATTGCTCGGCCAGGTTATGATTCCGACGATAATTAAACGATTACACTTTTAAAGCCCAATTGCACGACTTCCCAATGCTGAGCCTCACCAAAGCCACCCGCAGGAGGTCGACGGCTGCCTGGCGTCTTCAGTGGACCGGTGGCAACGCCCCCGCACAAGGCTGCGGCCGCAAAGCCCGGCCAATGATTAGGGCAATAAGAAGGCTTTGTTGAAGTTGCCAAGTTGCCAAAAAGGCAGTCAGTAGGTGCAACGTCCGGGATAAGTTACCCCACAACCCTGCGTACAGTACGTCTTAATGCACCACTTGGGCAAGCGCATGCAAGCTTCTTGACGTATACCGATGGTTCATGTAATTTGCTTGCATCACAAAGGCGCCGAGTGGTTTGTCCCAACGTCTCATGTTGAGTGTTACGGACATTCTGTCCGAAAGCCGGGCCGGGCCTCCCAAGGGAGCCTCTGGGGCGAAGCGGTGACGGAGTTGGCCTTGCAAAAAAAAGGAGGGGAGGGGAGGATGGGGCACGCCCTCCCCCCCGTCCGCAACGCCCTCCTCCCGGTTCCCGGAAGGTGGAATTGGGGGCTTTCGGTAAGGAAGGGCATTTGAGGGATTGAGACGGATTGAGGGTTGGGGTGCTTCGAAGCAACCTCTTCATCAGTAAACTGGGAGGGACTAAGTGCAGGCATTGCATTTCGATCACCCTCCCGTCTAACTCTTCTGCTGAGTCGTAATGACTCGAGGCTTTCACACGGAAGTTTCGGGCTTTGGCGACGCAGGCACAAATCCGAGCGGAAAGTCCACAAGGTGGGTTTGGGGCTTCGGGTCGGAAGCTCTCGAAGCCTGAAGAAAGGCAGTAATAGTAACATTTTCGAAAACTGAATGATGGTAATTAGAAGGGGTTACAATTATAAACTTGGCAATGTGGAGGCCCAAATAGTACATCCCCCCTGGACCAAGGTTCGGTAGATTGGAGGCTCTTGGGCTGGCTTGGGGTCTGGGAGGCTGACTAAGTTAGAGGGGAATTGGGGGATCCCCGATTTTGTGGGCTGGCTTGGGGTTTGGGTGGCTTTGACTAAATTAGACGGGAATTGGGGGATCCCAGCTTTTGTGGGCTGGCTTGGGGTCTGGATGGCTTTGACAAAATTAGAAGGGAGTTGGGGGATTCCAGGTTTTGTGGGCTGGCTTGGAGTCTGGGTGGCTCTGACTAAGTTAGAAGGGACTTGGGGGATCCCAGTTTTGATTCGGGGTCTGGGGGTTGAAGTAGAAGGGTTTGGGAGGGTGTAGGTTTTCGGGGGTTTGGGGTGGGTTGCTTAGGTTTCAAATGGGAAACTTAGAGGAAAAAATGCCACAGTTAGGTTTACTTAGTAGACAGGCATTAGGCTACTAGTTGCAAATAAAGCAATTTCTTGAGTCTCTACTACAAAATAGCAGCCGAAAACCCTAGAAATAATTGCCTTAATTAGGAGTCTACTTAGACGGTTTTGGGTAAGTACCAGCTTAATTACTACTACTTCGTACTAAATAAGGGCATTGCCTGAGTGTTTCCTGTTTTGCCACCTTCCAGCAGCAATCTGCCTCAGCTCGTGGTGCCCTTAGCTCTCCGCCTTCGACTCTCCCTGAGCGACTCTAAGCGCAATTTCGAGTGAGGCTGACTAAATAAGTAGCGAGGTAGGAAACGAGCCCAGGATGACCAGAGCCATCAAGTTCGCAGTGATCCTCAGCTTCATGGCCCTGAGCGCGATCTCCCTGAGCAGCGACCCGCGTGAACTTAGAGACTCCTTTAGAGCTTTTCTGAAGTTTTTCTGAGTGCACTGTGGCCTGAGCCATGCAGAACTGCACTCCTCAACGGCTCTTCCGGGTCCTTAATGTGAAGCCTGAGATGAACCTTCGCTTCGAAAGAGCCTCAGAGCCTGAGATAGACTGTGAGTGTGGAGCCCGCCGTAAGCTCGGCAGACTGCCTTGGCAGTCTCCCTGCATAAGTACAACCTCAGGATCGTCGCTGAGCCAGAGTTGCCTGAGCTCCCTCCCAGCGTCTCAGCCTCCAGGTCTGAGGGTGGTTACAAGCCTCGTGTTCCTAAGAGGCGACCTTCTCTGAGCAAGACAAGATCGGACCCCTCAGCAGCTTCCGTCAAGAACCTGCCCCTGAGGAGACTGAGGGTGACCTTGGCGAGCCAGTTTGTAGAGGGAGCTGAGGAGGAACCTGAGGGGGAGTTGGACATTGAGGAGCTCGACGTTGACATTAAGGAGCTGGAGATCGACTGTAAGCTTCCAGGGGTCACTGAGGGCGACCGCTTGGACTTCGCCGTAGACCTTGGCTACAGAATCCTGAGATGCCTTGGAGCGGGGATTCAAGTGTGCTCTTTGGCCTTAGAGGAGGAGGGTCTGGCCTCAGAAGAAGATTGACACGGGCGTTCTTCGGCTTCAAGCATGAGCAGCTCGATACCATAAATAGTGACGACACATGCTACAGCGGTGGCCTTGGCCTCGGCAAGACCAGCCTCAGGACTTTCCCGTCTCCGGCACCTGAGGACTGCTAAACACTTTAAACTCTTTGATCATAAAGACCCTGAAGCTTTCCAAAGTCTTGACTAAATCCCCCCCAAGAACTCAGGTACTCTCTCGAGCAGTAAATAGCTAATTGATCATGCATACTTAGCAGCAAAGCCCCTTATTCAGCCCCAAAACCTAAACTCTAAGTAAACCTGTCTGCAGGATCTGAGGGCGAGGAGAATGAGGACGGGGCCGAGTCTGAGACCGACTCTGAGGACACCCTTAGTGAGGAAACCCTCTATGAGAATGTAGACCGCCTGAGGGACAGGTGGGCTTCAGAAGGCTTCAAACCAGAAAGCCAGGAACCCCAGCAGTACAACTGCTCAGGGTCGAAACGCATGGGCTCGTCGCGAGGAGGACCTTCCGTAGACGGCTGCGGATCGGCGCTTTCACCTGCCTCGCGTGCCTCCTTTCTCGGAGAGCAGGCTGCTGAGCAGGAGACTGTTTTTTGTGGTTGCTGATGAGGCTGCTCCTCATCCTGCAAGTCCTGCAAATCTCCGAGGTGCTCGGCTCGGAGCAAGACCCAAGGCTGAGGGCCCTCTGACGGCAGAGCTGCTCAGACTCGTCGCGCTCGCCTCAGGCTTCTTGTCCTTGATGGGGCCGACTATGAAGTTTGCTGAGTGTTGGCGATCTCAGCGATCGCCTCTCTCACCAGGGACACAGTCCCTCTTATGCGCCTTAGAAGGGACCAGAGTGGCTGTGAAGATGCCCTTACGGCCTGGGTCTTTAGCCCACACTGGCACCTGGTCGCTGAAGCCGAACACCAGGTGTTCGCGGTTTTCAGAGAAGGCATTAGGGTCAGCGACGACTGCGGCATCGTTCATCAGGTACTCAGCCACAGCCTTTGGTCGGACTCCTGCCAGGTGAGCTGACTGCGGACACATGCTCATCTTGGACCAGCTCAGCGGTGAGGTGCTTAGCTCCAATGCACCCAAATAGATACCTAGTCCAGCTCCATGCTCTCTACTCTGAGGAAAGTGAGTCCTTCACTGTGGTTGACCCAAGGCCCTCTACATGCTTCAGAAGTTTCCTGAGAATCGCCCTGAGACCAGACAACAGGCCAGGACATTGGACTATCCTCACGGCTGAGAAGGCTACCCGGCCCCCCCTGAGCACACGGAAGACCTGAGCTGGACAGTCTCGACTCCCTGAGTTTGGGTCAGGCAAGGCAGATCGGCAAGCTCTTAGACGAGGACTTCAAGCTCTTTCAGCCCCGCAGCAACTCCTGCACTCAGGCGAAAGGCCAGAATCAATGCGGCTCTGCTTCAGCTTCATTGGGCAAAGCCTTACGGAGAACGCCTCTGACCTTCTCTGATCGACCTCGGCACCAAGTAGGCGAATGAGAGGCACGTCCTCATGCAACAGATCTTGCTGGAGAAAAATAAGGTCAATGCCCTTGAGGAGAGGACGCAAGCTCAGGCTGAGCAGAATAAGGCTTTCCTTGAGGCCAACAAACTCCTCGAGAGCAAGGCCACTACGGCTGCGGCTAAGGCCTACAAGAAGGCCATGAAGATTCCTGAACTTCACAAGACTTGTAAAGCGCCCGGACTTTCCTTGGAAGTACTGTACAAGGACTTCTTCGGGTGAAGACGTGCATGCGAAATCCATTGAATCTGAATGAAGGCCCCGATTTATGCGTTCTCGAGGAGTGCAAGTCTGCGTTTTTTACATATGCATTCCATCTGATGCATGCTGCTGCCTCCTTGTATGCTAAGTCTCTAAATATATACACACATCTATATATATATATATATGTGTGTATATTCATTTGTTTATTTATGTACGTATGTATGTATGTATGTATGTATGTATGTATGTATGTATTTATGTATGTATGTACGGCTACATATATACATATATATATATATATATATGCTTTTACAAAAGTATGTGTGGGTGTATACACACATCCCGCAGAAGGACATGGAATCTTTGTGAGATACTGGCCCTGCATGTCGGCAATCATGAAACTTAGACGGCCTGTCCGCGTGCATGCAAGGCGTGGTGGCCACACCTGTCAGCAGAGACCCCAAGCCATAAACCCAAAGTCCTAAACCGAAGACCCTGCAACCGAACAAAACCCTAAAACCCTGACCCTTTTTGCATCCAGGACTCTTGCAAGCAGCCGGGAAGTTCCTGACCCTTTTGCAACTGGCCTGCTGCGACTCCGCCAGGACGAACACTTGACCACAAGTTCCTGACCCTAAAACCCTTAACCCTCGAACTCTGAACCCTTCAAGCCCTACACCCTTGAAGCCCTAGACCCTGAACCCTAAACCCTGACACTGAAACCCCAAAGCCCCGCATTCCAAAACAGCCCGGAGCTTCGCCGGACAAACGTAAAAAAAATTCAATCTAGGCCCACAGTTCACTCAAGTTTAGGGTCTAGGGTTTATAAGGCTAACGGTTCAGGGCTTAGGGCCTCTTTTGGGTTGAGAGTTTTGGGCTTAATTTGGACCTCAAACGACCTTAACCTGCTCTTTCGTCTTGGTACTACTCTGAACCCTACTATGGAATTTGCGGGCTGTCTTACAAAATGCAGGTTGCGGTGGGTCAAGCCTGGCCGTGTATATACATATACACACATTTCATTCGTGCACATGTATATGCGAATATCTGTCTATCTCTATATATTTGTGTGATTTTGTGTGTATGTATATATATATATATTTGTGCACGTTCACACATGTGTATATATATATATGTATGTCATAAACATATCTATACATATGTGCGTGTGGATGTGAGGCCGACAAATGCAAATGTTAACATCGATAATTATATGTATATGAATATGTACAAAAAACAGATGGAGGCATTCAGATTCAGACAGATAGACAGAAATATAGACATGAATAACACAACACGGAAAACAACAAACAAGTATTTACATACAGAAAGACATAGTTTAACAACAAAACGAAATGAAAACATGAAT